ATCAAACGCTACATTACACAATGATCTAAGCATATCATATGTAACAGAAGTCATCAGAGCATACGCGGAGACACACAAAAACCGGACCACTCAAAACAACAACCAACTAATAAGAACCCTCTTTAAGCAACTAGCAATAGAAAGAAGACTAAACAGAATGTGGCCAGAGGATCTCATTAGATAAGCACCAGAGACTCATCTGAGGATGATACCTGCTTCAATATTAAATACACCCATCCCTTTTACTAATTACTCTATTTTTGTATGCTGAGAAATTGTTAAAATTATTTTAAAATAAAAAAAAATCTTTATTAGATCGGCCTCTTTAGAGAAACGCCAAGAAAGTGGGGGTCTATGAGACCGCCGCCTCCTTTCCAATCGTTATCCATTTTAATATCTATAAACATATTCTCATATCATTCCAGGCGTAAAGTAACCCCCCTGAATAAACTGAGAGAGAGAGGTCACATCACGTTTCTTATGTCCTTCAGGCCTATAAATTGGCGTGCAAGACGTCATCTATGAGGTAATTAGAGCGCTCTTCATAAAATCCAGGTACAGGCCCATATAACGTGACACCCACCGTGTAGACTGGTACAAATTTGCTGTTGTTTCACAGGACCGTGCAGTCGCCATCCTTATGGTTAAAAAATAATCAAAGCATAGAGAGATGCTTGCTGCTTGCTTGGGAAACCTTGAGGATGGAGACAGTATATTCCTCCGAAACATTACACGGCGTCACATCCCAGAAGATAATTTTTGTACTCACTGCCGTGAGAAGTTCATATTCAAATTAGATCTTATGTTTATTTGTAGACTAATGCGTTTCTTGGCTTTCAGGAGAACTTGCGCACTGCAGCTCTTTGTGGTGTTAATGTTTTCACCCAGTGAACTGCCAGCATAGGCAGAGGTACGAGCCTTGTCTTGTCTAACCTCTGTTCAGGAGAATCTCCGGTGCCCCCAGACTATTTCCCTTTGAGAGGATTAAACTCAACTCTGATATATTCAAACTGAAGCAAGCAACACGGCGGTTACGGTGTGCCTTATGCCACACAAACAGTCCGTTCGTCCGTCCGTATTGTCTTATGCCTCGCATTAAGTAAGCTGGGAGCTGCTACAGGTCTCGGGGAAGCCACGCGCTCGCAGTAGCTAGCTGCAAGCAGACAGCCTAGTTCACATTGAGCCCACGATTTTCGGAACAAAACAAAAATGAAATTCTGAGTACTTGCTGGCACTAGTAATATCTCTGGCTAGAAACACTTGAACTAGTAATATCTCTGGCTAGAAACACTTGAACTAGTAATATCTCTGGCTAGAAACACTTGAACTAGTAATATCTCTGGCTAGAAACACTTGAACTAGTAATATCTCTGGCTAGAAACACTTGAACTAGTAATATCTCTGGCTAGAAACACTTGAACTAGTAATATCTCTGGCTAGAAACACTTGAACTAGTAATATCTCTGGCTAGAAACACTTGAACTAGTAATATCTCTGGCTAGAAACACTTGAACTAGTAATATCTCTGGCTAGAAACACTTGAACTAGTAATATCTCTGGCTAGAAACACTTGAACTAGTAATATCTCTGGCTAGAAACACTTGAACTAGTAATATCTCTGGCTAGAAACACTTGAACTAGTAATATCTCTGGCTAGAAACACTTGAACTAGTAATATCTCTGGCTAGAAACACTTGAACTAGTAATATCTCTGGCTAGAAACACTTGAACTAGTAATATCTCTGGCTAGAAACACTTGAACTAGTAATATCTCTGGCTAGAAACACTTGAACTAGTAATATCTCTGGCTAGAAACACTTGAACTAGTAATATCTCTGGCTAGAAACACTTGAACTAGTAATATCTCTGGCTAGAAACACTTGAACTAGTAATATCTCTGGCTAGAAACACTTGAACTAGTAATATCTCTGGCTAGAAACACTTGAACTAGTAATATCTCTGGCTAGAAACACTTGAACTAGTAATATCTCTGGCTAGAAACACTTGAACTAGTAATATCTCTGGCTAGAAACACTTGAACTAGTAATATCTCTGGCTAGAAACACTTGAACTAGTAATATCTCTGGCTAGAAACACTTGAACTAGTAATATCTCTGGCTAGAAACACTTGAACTAGTAATATCACTGTGTTCTTACTGTAACACTCTGCTGACTGACTGAATCCCCCTTATTCCACTGTAAGAAACAGACGTTTCTGAGACCCTATGAACATTTCTTCTTCCTCGTTACTCATAGTTCAAAGAAAGTCTGAGAGCAATAAGAGGACTTACCAGTCAGTTACTTTATTGTTTAACAAGAACTAAATTGTTCACGGCACGTAAAATTCCTCATGTCTCTAGGTGACCTCTGAGCAAAATTAGACAAGTCTCCCGCCCAAGTAGTTTCCAATGCCTCTGGTAGATGGGGGAAATATCAGGTACCGAGGGCCGACCTCGTTGGCTGAACGGGGCTGATAGCACGCACCAGTACCGGTAGGGTATGGCGACAGTAGAAATTAAAGGGGGACGCACAATGGACCAATAACTGGTCTAAGTTCATGGGGAAACCCACCCCCTCTAATAATAATAATAATAATAATACTTGTTCACGTCCACCGCGGCAGCCCGGGTTCGATCCCGGGTCTGGCCAAGTGGGATTTGTGATAGACAAAGTAGCGCTGGGGCAGGATTTCTCCGAGTACTTCGGTTTCCCCGGCCAATCTTCATTCCACCAATTGCTCCACAATCACCCTCACCTGTCATCTGGGGCTGGTACAGTAGGCCAGAAGTGGCCGCAGTACAAGGGACTTAGTCCCACCCCACTAGCAATAAAAAAAAAACTTGTTCACGTTAAATATTTTCCAGCAGAGAAGTCCCAAAGTCTAAGAAATTTATTTCCACAGTTTTGAGGCTTACAGGCCTACCGTTTCACGAGCGTGTAACTAGCTGCATATAATTAACACTGAGATAACAGAACCCAATTCCTGTCTCTATCCTGAACCATCCTGAACTTATTTAAATGCTGAGAAGAAAGCAGTCTTCTGGGATGTGGCACCGTGTAGATGTGGTGTTAACCAACGTTTCGGAGGAACGTATCGCCTCCATCTTCAGGGTAGAAGAAAAGAGAAGAGAATCCGCAAACGAAGAGACAGTGAGAACAAACGCAAGCAGACTAATGTTGGAAATAAACTCAGCTATTTATTTAAATACTGTCCGCCATATGTTCACCTAAAAACGAGTACGAGGCTACCGGTCATGATATAATATGACGTACTACGAACTGATAGGCTACATTCAACAAGTATTTATTTCAATTAATATAGCATTAATTTTAACTATTTTTAAAGATGTTATGACTGGAATTTTAAATCTCTTATGGGATTTGATTTGGCATGACGGTGAAGATTTATGTTATGCCACATGTAGTACTGTGACGGATGGGTGCCAGGGTTCTGGGGGAAAGTACTGGCTTCAGGGTAGAAATTAAAAGAGGCTGAGGGAGTCTATTACTCCGAAATGCCAGTGTGTCTACCAGGGCACAGTTTCAGAAAACAAAACCACACTAGGGCATATCTAGCCTTCTCCTGACCTTGCAGACAGGCAACTACAACGTTTTTTTTTTTCGGGAAAGAAGCTGATCTAGCGTCCACGGAGAATGTGTGGATTTACACCTCCACCCCCATAAGTTTTCATGTATTGCTACTTAATTAAGCATAGGGAAAACTTAATTTTTACCCAGAATTTTATGTGGTACGCGATTTAGGTTATGATTTTAAACCGTATTCTTGCACTTTTAGTTATGAAATTATTTGCAGATCTGTAGTAACTAACGATACTTCGCATGCAGACAAAGAGGCGCCAGATCTTTTTATGTAATGGAACTAAAAGAGATGACAATGTATTCTTTTGTTCTTTTCTTTATGAAAGAATTAACTAGTTCCTTTGTTACGCAAAGACTTCATCAGCGTTGTCTGAGTCAACACTTCCATACGGGCGTTAACTCCTTTCTCGCGAGGCTGGGCAATTCGTCTGGAAACAGAGCTTATGCTGCCTTGTCCTCCTCTCTGAACGTAACTCAGATGACCTCTGACATTCTCCTGACGTCCAGCTTCCGTACTCTGTATTTCTTTTCGATTCCTGGCCTGCTACAATACTTGCTGTTATCGCCATTATGAGGCTTGGAATGTGTCTTTCTTGTGCCTCTGTAGTCTGCAGGAGGCAGTGACATCGTCAACAAGAACTGATTTCCTGTGATTCATACATATATTCTTTCCTAATAATTCTTTTTCCATATTTGGAAACCTAAATAGGCTTGGCAGGTCACAGTAGCCGAGCGGTCTAAGGCATGTACTGTCTTCGCTCGCTTGGAAACCGGGACCGTGGGTTCGGATCTGTTTCCTGTGAGGTACGAACTGAATTCTTATATATTATTCTTATACACTGCCGGTTACGGTAGCCGAGCGGTCTAAGGCATGTACTGTCTTCGCTCGCTTGGAAACCGGGATCGTGGGTTCGAATCCCACTCAGGGCATGGATGTTTACTTTGTGTGTGCGCGTTTTTCTGTGTTTGTGTACAGGTAGAGGCCTTGTGACGAGCTGAGCACCCGTCCAAGGAATCCTACCAAATATCTAAGATCTAGTAAACCGAAGAGAAACGAGGAGTTTTATGGTGGCAGGCCAAGGCCCAAACTGGGGCTGTAGCGCCAAAGGGGAGAAATCTAGAAAGAATAAACAGGCTTTTAATTGGCATTGTCCAAAGACACCTCAGTAAAATTATGTTCAGAGTACTTAATAGACATAACGCTTAATTTTAAAATTTTACCAAAAAATCTGTATGTTGGAATAATAAAACTAATGGTAAGTAGGGTAACCAGACATGAGCACGAGGTGACAAAGACAAAACTGGGATGGAGTAAATTATACTAGCGGAGCGAGAAAAAAAATAAACTGACATAAGTGAGAAACCCACGTTCCCAGTGCTTTTTTATTACTGTATTCACGATGGCCACACCATTGGTCCTTACCCTGAGCCAGCTGAATTCCATTCACTACGGTATGTTTTGTTGTTGCTGTTGGTGGTGGATGTGCTGCTGCTATCATCATCATCACATGACTTCACGTTATTTCACGATGATACTATTAGAAAAGCTGAAGACGTTATGGGGGCCGAATGAGATAGGTACTCGTACAATGTAGTGCAAGTGGCCGAATATAAGGGGCGGCGGAGTTACAGCTGAACTACCCTGCAGGCAACACTGTACATAGTTCGTGTTTCTCCTTGCTTTTGCCAAAGCTTCGACTTGCTCACCACTCCAACCCCCATCCCCTAACATGTAAACCACACGCGAACTTTATCCCTCCGTCAAAAGGCAGGTAGCACAGAGAGTGGGTGGGTTGGTGAAAGCCACGCCCCTCTGCGGCAGCCTACCCCCTCTTGTTGGGAGAGGTGAGATCAAGAAAGCAGAAGTGACGCAACTCAGACTGGCGCGGGGTGGACAACACAAACTTCCTATGGTTGCCAGTGGCGTTTCCAGGCTTACGTTGCCTTATGTGTCTTACTGGGTAGTAAGTGGCGTGTTTTCAGATACTGTCCCAGAAAAACTACGAAAACCCCCCCACTCAGAAAGCCTGTCACATGTCTTGAGTGTGTTGTCCCTGTGAGACACTACAACAGTTGTCTCCTAGTCCCCAGAAACCCCCCCCCACTCAGAATAGCCTGTCACATGTCTTGAGTGTGTTGTCCCTGTGAGACACTACAACAGTTGTCTCCTAGTCCCCAGAAAACCCCCCACTCAGAATAACCTGTCACCAAGAGTCTTGAGTGTGTTGTCCCTGTGAGACACTACAACAGTTGTCTCCTAGTCCCCAGAAAACCCCCCACTCAGAATAACCTGTCACCAAGAGTCTTGAGTGTGTTGTCCCTGTGAGACACTACAACAGTTGTCTCCTAGTCCCCAGAAATAATACATTACAGGCCTCTGTGTAGGTCTGCCTCGGACGTAAGCTATATATAGTAGTTACATATTCCAATTTCCATCCTTTCTTAGAGGGTCTACTCATTAAGCAGTATTAATCATTCGCAAACCTGGAATGTGGCCGACTTCTTGTCACTGGAGCCCTGGTTCCAGCCCAGGTCAATTTATATGGGACCCGTGGTGGACAAAGTGACATTTCGCGTCCTTCGGTTTTCCTTACCAGTCCTTCTTCGTTTCTCTCCTTTGTCATCCGGGGAGAGTACAGTGGGACATTTAACAGCCCTAGTACCATGGGACTCAGCCTCACCCCACAGTAAGGGCAAGTTTAAAGTTGAAGGGGTGTACGGTGTTGTGAAACAGGACGGGTGTGGGTCGTTACCCTGCAGAAGCGAAGATAGTGGGAGTTTCATCTTCTTCAGCATGCCCGTTGGTCCTGTGGCCAATAACACTCCTGCCCAATTCATGGGCTTAAGGTCTGTGTAAAGCCGCCCTCCATACAGTAACCTAGAACCCAGTGTTAAGGAGCTTCAGTTTATCTGCACGTAACGAAGTGTGGCTTCCAGAGGCCACGGGTAACCAGGATTTTCAGCGTTGTCTCACACCTGCAACAAGTTACATGGGCCAGAGACTTCCTTGTTCGAAAACCGCCATAAAGTAGTTAAGTATGTATCATTTGTATGGCGGCCAGGCGCCCTTCTTTCTTTGTCGGAATGGTGTCTCAAAACGGACACAGCAACCGGAAAAGAAAATTCCCATATCGATACACTGAATATCCCTTCTCAGAAGTGATATCAAAAGTTTGGTCTTCTGAAAACTGATACTGACATGAACAAATATAGCGAAATAAAGCTACGATTTGCAACCTGTCCGATATAATATGTATAAGAAAAGTAGTGGAAGAGATTAGCTTTACTGACTTTAACAGACATGTCTGTGAGGTAAATGAGCTTCGAGACCCGGTCAGTCCATGTAAATGGCAAAGATGTTACTTGGAAGATATTTAGACTTCAGTTTGTAATAGGCCTACAGCGATTCCCTCGTGCAGTGCCCTATTCTTGCAACGGCAATGCGGATCAGGGATGTCAGCATAAGAAAGCCACCCCATTATGGAATCTGGATTCCTTCTTCCCTGGACACCGTTCACTGTGCCGTGCCCCCTCCCCCCCCCAGCACACCCTCAGTATAATTAACTCCTTCCACGTTCCAGTCTAAATTTATGGTACTTCTTCTCTAGCACCCCCTGGCTCCTCAACCTCAATTTCATCCCCTTCCCTTCATCCCCTCGTTTCAGTATCTCTCTCTCTCTTTCGACATCATATCCTGTGGATCATTTTCAACCGCCTTTTCCTTCTGTCTCTCTCACACGCACACACAGATGACAAGAGCCATATTTTGTACAAGAGTGACCTATATATTTTCTCTTATACTGGATCTACTAAGTAAAACACCCCCAAAATTGTCCTTCAGCGTCTTACGTGTTAATTGTGTCAGAACCACAGGCCTGTGCTGAAACTGCTCACTGCCTCACTACTTAAAACATATCCTGAGAGAGTTAGAGCCCAATAGGCAAGCTCATATTTTTATTTCAGTGTGTAGGCCTGTAGCCTATTGGAAAATACCTGTAGGCTGTAGCAACGGATCGAGACTATATGAGAAATTCCAAGCCGACCGCAAGTCCCAATGTGTTTACAGTTTCACACTTCGCCTTTGAACAACCGCCAGCACAACAATTTTCTTCATCCCCTCCCTATCTCGGCTCTGGAGTCATGAAATGCTTGTTTCATTTTTCCCTTTCTCTACGATAAAGTTAAGCTGGGGAAACGCACGCATGTTTTCGTCTACATTTTTTTCCCCCCTTGGCTCTACAGCCCCAGTGGACCTAGGCCTACCTCCATGAACTTCTCCGTTCACTTCGGTTTTTCTAGATCTTACACATTCGGTAGGACTCCTTGGGCGGGTGATCAGCTCGTCGCAAGGCCTCTACCTGTACACAAACACAGAAAAACGCACATAAACATCCATGCCCTGAGTGGGATTCGAACCCACGGTCCCAGCTTCGGAGCAAGCGAAGACAGTGCATGCCTTAGACCGCTCGGCTACTGTGACCGGCAGTGTATAAGAATAATATATAAGAATTCAGTTCGTACCTCACAGGAAACAGATCCGAACCCACGATCACGGTTTCCAAGGGAGCGAAGACAATACATGCCTTAGACCGCACATATGTCCACAAATATGATTTAATTTCCCAAGCATTAAATGTGGACAGACGGACGGACGAGGTAGGCATATATGGAGAAGCCAGCTGGCACCCGTTCGCAACTTGCCTTCAGAGGACTCCATGAAACATTTTACTATCAGATATTAAATGAGAAAATTAATCGCAGAATTGTAATAAACTGCCAAACCTGTTCTATATTTAGGCCTGTTACATAAACTTCTGAGGGCAATGTAATTCCCAGCAGACTTCGCGTAAGTCACGGATCAAAATGGACAGGTAGAAAAGATAACCTCTAGGGTCATTTTTGTTCGAAGCAGATCTTCCATTACTTTCCCCCTTTCCCGACTTTGTATATTCTCTCTCTCTCTGCATCTCTGTATGTGGGATGCTGGGCGCGAACCCACCTGTACCATTTCCCACACTAGCTACAAGGCGAGAGGAGAGAGACGAGAAGGGGAGAGAGGGAGGAGCAGTAGATGCAACATCATGACAAAATGGCAAGTGTATATAAAGACAGGCGACTTTGACGATGTAGGCTGTTAGGATTTCGGCATTCAGCAACTAGGCAAAAGTAAAACAGTGCTTCGCGTTAAATGAAGGGCGATTGTGGTGTCGACTGCTGACTGGAAGCGGCCCACAGGACAAGAGAGTGTGCCAACAGGTCCAGCAGCACAGTGTCTTGCATGCGGAGAATGGGAACAGGTGAGCTGTGTGTAGCCGTTACTCAGCTGCGGACTCAAAATATACCTTAACTGAATTGTGTAGCGAGCTTTACGGCTGTCAGTATAAACATTGTGCTTGTAACAGAGAATTAACCGTGTGTAAAGGGAAACTAAACTGTTCTGTGATCTAAATGTGTAATTCCAGGCTTAGCGTTTTGCTACACTTAACTGTCTGCATGATGATAGTCAAACATAAGTATATTAATTATAAATATATATTATTATAATAATATATATTAATAATAATATATATTTTTATAAATAAATATATTAATTATATATTTTAACATTTTAATAGTTATATGCGAAAATTTATATCGGTTTCTCTACAAATACAATTGGGGCAAAACACGTCTTACATGTTAGCTTAGAAATAATTTTAAAACAAGTTTATTTTTTTACATATATTTTGTTGAAAATTAAACTGGCTTTCAAATGAAGGTAGGCGCAGTAAATAAGAATATGACATTATTGTGACTTCTCACTATTACTGCTAGTAGTAATAACAACAATAATTATAATAATTCAGTTCTTGACGGCTAAATAATAATGAAAATTTTATAGTAAATTAATATTATGTCACAAAAATAATTATAATATGAACATTAGAATTTATAACTAACAATTCAACGAAATAAATATTAATATTTTTGCCTTCACGAACTTAAAAACTTAAGTTTTCTTGCAACTGCCTTCAGAGCGTCTCCTGTTGCTGTGTTATGTCCTCATAAGCTGAGAGCGCGTCGTCAACTTATTACAAGATTGCTTGATGAAGTTTTACAGCCCGTCTGTCCCCTTGTTGATAATAGCACGCACGCACACACGCATACAAAGAGTAGCAGGATTTAGCGGCAGCGGTAATATTATCGTGACACCGTAACAATTGGAACGGCGGCAGTACGCCCCGGCTGAGTGGGTCGGGGTGGCGCCTCCGGGGAGAATCGAACACTTGTCCTCCTGCCTCTCACTTTACTAATTTGGTACGGTTCCTGCAGTATACTCATAAAGGTAACATTGTCTCTGTGCATAATTAATTAAGCACCACGCAAGAAGATGTATGGGGGGAGTGGAGTTATAGCTCCACAACTTTTTACCTCGGCAGTATATGAAGGTGAATAGTGAGATTCATGGATCG